GCACCCACGTCCAGACCTCTGGAAATTTCATGTCTGGTCCCTGGAATGGCGTAGGTTCTAGGTGACCTACCCCAGCAGGTAGTTGACACCATCACTTCGGCGAGAGCACTGTCTACGAGACACGCTTACGCCTTGAAGTGGAACCTGTTCGTCGAGTGGTGTTCTTCTCGCCGAGAAGACCGAGAAGACCCCCAAAAACTTTGTTAATTTAAATGGGGAGTCATCTCAATTATAACCAGTAAAATATGGAGTGCCACAAGGATCTGTCCTAGGTCCTCTGCTATTTTCAATATACATGTTGCCCCTTGGTAATATTATTAGAAAATACTGGATTAGTTTCCACTGTTATGCTGATGAACTAACAGAGTGTGTTAAAAATTTAAAAGATTGGTCCTATTAAATTCGGATAAGACAGAGATATTACTTATTGGACCAAAAAGCAGTACACAGAATCTCTTGGATTACAATTTCCAACTAGACGGATGTACTGTTACTTCCTCTACAGTCAAAAATCTGGGTGTTATATTAGATAGCAACTTGTCTTCAACTTGAAACTTAAAAAAATCTGCAACTTGAAAAAATCATATTTCCCATGTTATAAAAACAGCATTCTTCCATCTTAGAAACATTGGTAGGCTACTAAACATGTTGCCTGTTTCTAATGCAGAAAAGCTAGTTCATGCATTCATGACCTCTAGACTGGACTATTGTAATTCACTGCTAGGTGGTTGTCCTGCATCTTCAATAAACAAGCTACAGGTAGTCCAAAATGCAGCGGCTAGAGTCCTTACCAGGTCAATAAAATATGATCATATTACCCCAATTTTACAGTCTCTGCACTGGCTACCTATTAAGTTCTGTATCAGTTACAAAATATTATTACTTACATACAAGGCACTTAATGGGATAGCTCCTGCGTACCTAACTAGTCTTCTACCACACTACAATCCATCACGTTCCTTAAGGTCGTAAAACTCTGGACTATTGGTAGTGCCTAGGATAGCAAAGTCCACTAAAGGAGGTAGAGCCCTTTTCGCATTTGGCTCCCAAACTCTGGAATAGCCTTCCTGATAATGTTTGGGGTTCAGACACACTCTCTCTGTTTAAATCTAGATTAAAGACACATCTCTTTGGCCAAGCATTCAAATAATGCATCTCATAATCTTGTATTGCAGTTATATCTGATCAAAAGCACATTATTTTTCTTTAGCTTGGGTTAAACACATTAATTTTACTAGGTTGGAACAGCAGCTGCGCTAATTATGTCTCTATTTGTTTCTCTGTTTTTGCCACGGGATGGATTTACACAAGGTTCAGTCTGGATCCAGAACACCTGAGAAGAGGTGATGCCAACCCCTCAGAGGATCTCAGATAATGCCAACCATGAAACAACATACAGAACTACCACATTTTGCTATAAGTTTGATGGCATCATATAATAATTGCTGTTAATAGTGGAGTCTTTAATTGATTGTTCCGTACATTTCTGCCATATGTACATTAACTGACAATCACCACTGATTTGCTGTAAAGTTGCTTTGCAACGATTTGTATTATGAAAAGCGCTATACAAATAAACTTGAATTGAATTAAATTGAAATGCCCAATCAGGGTCGTGCTTTTCTTTTTGCAGCAAGGGTTGGAGCGAAGCAGTGTTAATTTTGACAGGCATTTTTGATTTAGTCTTAGTCTTTATCTTGAGACGAAAATGCTTAATATTCTAAGTCACATTTTAGTCATTTGAGTCTTTCATAGTTTTAGTCTAGCTTTAGTTGACAAAAAGTCATTGCATTTTTGTCAACTTTTAGTCATTACTTTTAGTCAAACTGCAGTTAACAACATTTATTTTGGTAGTTATTTTATATGTAGTCTTTAAACAAAAAGTGTCATTAATTCTTCTCTCTTTAGACCAAATAAATTAAGGAAGAAATTTTTTTAAAAATTTAATAAATGATGACAATTTTAATTTTTGAGTGAAATATCCCTTTAACAGTAGTGAAAAGGGAGCAACTTATGAAAATTATAGTTTTTCATATATATATATATATATAATTTATAATTTTTGAAAAAGAAGCAGAATAAGACAATAAGACACATACGAAAGAGATACAAATTAAACAAATTTTTCAGATACAGTAGGCTTACTTAACATTTTTATTTAACATCTTTTGTTGGTTAACATTAATGACACGGATAGGTACTTAATTAGGAATGCTGTCCCTTTAAGACGGAAGGCATGCATTTAATACTGACACACGTTCAGTTTTTTTCACCCACCTGTTTACGTTCACTTCATCCATAATCGACTGTATTTATGTGAGATACTCTACCCGATAGACATTTGGACTGCTGTGTGTGTATTTGTGCACTGAGAACTGATCGCACGTTGTATTTGAGAACTGAAAAAGTGGAGCGTGCGCGAGAGAGAGCACTTATATCCATGCAATTCAGCCTATCCCAACTTTTAAGTTAATCGACAACGAATTGTGATTACCGGGAAAAACGGGACATCTGGTCACCTTATCCCTACCCTTTCCAGTGCTGAGGCCATTGTTTCAGATCACTAGTTCGCATTTTGGTAGCCTATCCATCCACTGCGGCTGCCATACTTAGACTAGATATGCAAACGCCAATCCGATATGCAATCCGATTGCAATCCAATGACAGGGATGCACATTTTGAAGGACAAGACAGTAGCCTATAGGATGTATTTTGAATGCCCGGTAGTCCTCAAATAACATTATAGTTCCACCTCGTCTTGTTAACGAAGACGCGGCATAAATTTTGACATAGATTTTATCATAAGATATTAGTTTTAGCTCGTCAACGTCTCGTCTTGGTCACAGAAAAAATGTTCGTTAACGAATATTTTTCGTCGTCATCTTCATTGACGAAATTAACACTGGAGGGAAGGCTGTCTCCCTCCACTTTTAAAGTCTATGTCGCTGCAATTGCTGCCAACCATGACCCTGTGAAAGGGAAGTCGGTAGGGAAGCATGACCTGGTCATCAGGTTCCTTATGGGGGCGAGAAGGTTAAATCCTCCCCAGCCCCCCTCTATACCCTCTTGGGACCTTTCTCTAGTGCTCAAAGCACTACAGCAGGGCCCATTTGAGCCTTTGCAGTCAGTCGAGCTAAAGTTTCTTTCAATGAAAACTCTACTCCTGCTTGCACTGGCCTCCATCAAGAGGGTAGGGGACCTGCACACATTTTCGGTCGATGATTTGTGCCTAGAGTTTGGGCCGGCTCACTCCCAGGTAATCCTGAGGCCCCGGCCCCGGTTATGTGCCCAAGGTTCCTACTACCCCCTTCAGGGATCAGGTAGTGAACCTGCAAGCGCTGCCCCCGGAGGAGGCAGACCCAGCCCTAGCTTTGCTTTGTCCCATCCGAGCCTTGAGATGGTACGTAGACCAGACACAAATCTTTAGGTCCCCAGACCAGCTCTTTGTCTGTTACGGAGGCCGGCAGAAGGGGAAGGCCATCTCTAAGCAGAGGATGGCACACTGGATTGTGGATACCATCACCCTGGCTTATCAGGCACAGTGTGTGCCCTGCCCGCTCAGGTTGTGAGCTGACTCTACTAGAAGTGTTGCATCCTCCTGGGCGCTGGCTCGTGGCACCTCGCTGACAGGTATTGTAGAGCTGCGGGCTGGGCGACCCCCAACACGTTCGCTAGATTCTATAGCCTTCATGTGGAGCCGGTATCCTCCTGTGTTCTCACCTCAGACGGGTAGAGGCACTGTGAGGCCCTGGTTTAGTGTTGGCTTGCTAAAACTGCTCCAGAGTGTCCGTACTGTAGACCCTGTCGAGCTCCTCCATCCCCTCGGCAGCCAGACGTGGCGGAACGTCTGGCGCCAGGCCCTCACTCGATGAATCCATGAGAACCAGTAGAGGTTCTGGGTTCCATATGTAGAGACCTAAGTGGATCTCATATGTGTAAAGTCCACAGTATAGCCTCAGAGCCCGTGTTTCTCCGGCAGACTTCTGCCATTTCCAAGAGGGTTATAATCACCTCTAATCTTCCATATGCACCTAAAGTGCTTCCGAAAACCTCCTTCGGGAAGGATGGGGCTTCCGCAACATTCCTGTTCCAAATGGTACAGGTACATTTTCCCAGTGTTATCCAATCTCACTGAATGGATAGTGCTACAACAACAGTGACTGGTCTTCTTGTTGCGAGCCCCGGCCTACACCAAAAAGGGGTCGCACAGGATGGTGGAAGGGGCAGCGTCCATGGCGCTTTGTTAGGGATTCCAATTCGTCGGTCACCGACGTGACGTGGAGAGTGACCGACTGAAAGGGAACGTCTTGGTTACGTATGTAACCCTCGTTCCCTGAAGGAGGGAACGGAGATGTCACGTCCCGTCGCCACGGCTGCTGTACCACCGCTGAGCGTCCAGGTCACCGGCTCGGCTCCTCAGCGAAAACCTGGTATGCGTTGCACCGGCTGCCTTTTTATGCTCATGCTGTGATCAGCGGCAGCTGGATGCAATCATCGCATGCCAATGTGCATTGGCTCGTTTAGTTTACACTCGGTAAAAGTGGATTGGTCTCGCTAAGCGAGATCCCAATTCGTCGGTCACTGACGTGACGTCTCTGTTCCCTCCTTCAGGGAACGAGGGTTACATACGTAACTGAGACGTTTCTTAGGCATGCAGTAAAAAAATAAAACCATGTATTTTCAATACCCATCAACATACTCATACTTGACAGTTTCCAACCGAATATTTTTATTAACAAGATTCATGTCATTACTATGTACTCAGCATTTAAGCAGTGTTAAGTTGTGGGTAGGTCAAAGATTATGTCACTACAAAATCTACAATTTTCCTGACACATTCAACATTGCTGCCAGTAACTGCCAGTAACAGTAACAGATGCTTCAGGAACTGACATTTTAATGTATTTGAATGCAATAGAATTAATCACTAACAATATTGTAATGCAATGTCTTAATATACAAAATGCATTTACTGAGCTTCTTAAAAAATCCTAACGTACCTTGAATAAACTTTAAATAGCGCAAAGCCCAAATCAACATTTCAGGTCTCAGAATATAAAAAGCACAGCAGGTGACAGTCTCATGCAGAGATCCTGGAACAGAATATTTAATTATGGACCATTATAGAAAATACACACAAACATGTGAATCAGGGATGAGAAAAATCTGTACAACATTATGAACAGAAGACAAATAAAATCTACCATATTATTAAGATTATATTAATATTATTTTTCATATTTACAAACATAACTAAGAACACTAAACTACTGCACTCACCTTCAGTAAAGCCCCAAAGCATGAAGGCAAAGAACATACAGATGTTTGGATAAAAGACCAGAGAAACCTGAAGATTCCAGATTATGCTGCTGTTGACTGGAGAGAAGATGCAGAATAATCACAGTTAAATTAATAAAACACTTACAGTGAAATATACAGAGTTAAATCACACAAAAAAAAAATATTTCAAACATACCAGTGTTTTTTGATCTGCAGTAGTTCAGAGAGCAGAGCAGAAGCACAGCTCCAGATGTAGCAGCAAAACAGAAAAATAACACAGCTATGTGCCAAGAAGAGAAACCTGTGAAACACAAACATCAGGTATAACTTCACTGAATCAACTTGGTATATTAAGTCATAGTTTCTTATAGAGAAATAATAAGGAGGTTTGCAATTAAGACAATTCATTCTTTAAATAGATTCCTACAACTATTATATTTTGGCAGCATCTACTTACATTAATTGTTAAAAGTTATTTGCTCTTTACGTTTTAAATCTTTCTAAATAGAAACTGTTTTAACTATAAGAAAAAAACAGCATCTCGTTCACACCAACTGCAAGTAAATAATGATAGACACGGTTCACTGTCCATGTCAAAAGCAGTATGTTCATATTATTTGAATGGTGGGCGGAGCTAATAAAAATTGCCATTGCCAACTATGTTGTTCATTTAAATTTAGTGGAAATAGACATAGTTTAATGTTTGTTTTGTTTGTCGACTCACCCAGTTGCTCCAGTTCTGCAGTTGCATTGGCTGAAAGTCCTCCAGCAAACACTAAACACATGTAAACTCCTTTATCCTCAGTTCTGACACTCTTCAGTCTGAGAGAGAAGTTTCCTTTGGGGATCTCAGCAGTGAAGAACTCAACTCTGTCTCTGTATTGTTCATCTGATGAATCTGAGAAAGTCTCATTGTTTTGGTAGAGCAGAACCAGAATATTTCCATCTGTTTTCCTCCATAAAACCTTTTCAATGTGTTCAGGTTTGATGTAAGAGTCTACAGAGCAGCTCAGAGTGACGTCCTCACCATCATATGCAGAAACAGACTGATCTGATCCTGATACTAGCAAACACTCTGAGAGAATAAAAGTGGTTTAAATTCCATTACATAAAATACATCCAATGTAATTTATATTTTCAGCAGAATTCAGATGGCTCTCACTCACCATGTTTTATTTGAACCACAGTTTCTCCAGAATCCTGCTGACTGTAAACTCTACATGTGTATCGTCCCTCATCTTCAGCTCTCAGATTGTCCAGACGGAGAGAGAAGTTTCCATGTTGGATCTGATCAGTAAAGAAATGAGCTCTATCATGATACTCCTGCTGCTGGGCCTCTGGTCGACTCTCACCATCTTGATACAGATGAACCAGAGCCTCTGAGTCTGTTCTTCTCCATTCCACCTCCAGATCCTCCATTAGTAAGAGTTCATCAACATAACAGAGCAAAACCACTGAAGATCCCAGAGGAGCAATCACAGGACCAGCGGGACCGTGCACGATGAACCCTTCCAAAATTAAAAATAGACAAATTGATTATTAAAAAAAAAAAAAAAAGTCAAGGAAGCAAATCTATTTTCGCGTAATAACGTAAGCTGAAAATACGCACCATCAGCGACCATCATAAGTATTGACATAAAAATACAGGTAAGAATGTCCATCATGTATTAAAATTAGACAAAACTAACATAAGATAATAAATTATCATGAAAACGAGAGCACGGGAAGACACGCCTGAAGAAACACTTTCACTTTCGCTTTTTTGAATTAAGCGCGTCCAAACTTGATTCGTTGAACTGATAAGAACAAGCGCTGAAATATCACATTCTGTTGGCTTTCTTGTTGATTCTTCTGAGGATGAAACCTCAGAATTGAGGTTTATATTTGTTAAACTCTAATTGTGTTTAGCAAATAGAAACTGGGAAAGCTCCTCTTCTTGTTTGTGTTCTGCATTTGGTTATCCAGCTCTTAAATTTAGACGTCGATATTTTACAAACATAAAGTATGGGATGATATTAGACTCAAAATGATTAATAGACGCACGCACAATTATTCATGTACTGCATACATTTTATACATGTATCTTACTAACCACAAACAAATGCCTTTCAATTTGAGTCTGTGGAATTCAGGATTAAATGATTGTGCAGGGATTTGTACAAATACAGACATGTTTTCGAATAAAAATGTTCTGTTCTGCATTAATATATCATAAATTGCTCATGCAAAAAGGATTCTGTGCATATGTGGATCAGGTGACACGCGTGCATTAATTGACGTCTAGTTCGCGTTGATCTTGTTCGGTTCATTTGGATTTTGAGACTTCATTTTCGCAGTTTACAGCATTTCACGACGCTCACACACACAACTACCAACGAACAAGGCCCAGTGCAATTCATTATCGTGTACTCGATTTGAAAAATTTGCAAATGTGCGTCACTACACTGAAACAAATGCCTTTCAACCGGTGTCTGCAGAGTTAAGAATTACATTCATGTGCAGCATTTTCTTCAAGTAGAGACATATTTGTGAATACAAATGTTATAGTTTGTATTAAAGTATCATAATTTGTGCATGTAGCGATTAAAATGTGCATTTGTGGATCAGGCGACGCGCGTGCATTAATTCACGTCTCTTCTGAGTCGATTCTATTTGATTCATTTGAATTTTGAGACTTTCGTTCCGCCCTTTTAGCCTTGCCCAATCCACACACACACAGCTCGCGATCCACGCGCAGCTGAGACACAGAACATCAGCCACCACTAGATGGCACTAGCCCCAGTCACATGTGCGCATTCCATCAGTACGGTTCTGTGAATGTTACATTGTGTTTTCTTTGTTTCTTTTTGGTTAGGCTATTTCCTCTACCGTAGAAATAGCCTATAATAAAGATGTTTTATTGAACTTGTTCTAATTGAGCTTGTCTTGAGACACAGAATAGCTTATATTAATTTTGCCAAACAAGAACTTCATGACGGTACCTTGTTTTTTTCTTTCTTTCTGTAATTCAACAGCACGTTGTCAGTTATTCCTTCCTTGTATTATTATTATTATTATTATGCAAAGATGAAGTTGACGATGCTGATTAGCCATATCTGCAGTACGAGAGAAATGCGCCTTTCATATAGTCCTACAGCATTGCAAACGCTGTAGCCTCTTCATTATCAGAATAAAATACAGTCAACCAAACATATAC